AACTAAGATACTACTGATTATAAGATGCACCACTATTTTATGTTCCACTGAAAAAGAAAACATGGAGGCCAGGTGTGCTGGCTCACACCTATAATCCCCACACTCTGGGAAGCTGAGGTAGGTGGATTGCTTGAGCCCAGGAATTCGAGACAAGCCTGGACAACATGGCAAAATCCCATCTTTACAAAAAATACAAAAACTAGCCAGGCATGGTGCTGTGTGCCTGTGGTCCCAGCTACTTGGGGGGCTGGGGTGGGAGGATCACTTTAGCCAAGGAGGAAGAGGCTACAGTGAGCCATTATCTTACCACTGCACTCCAGCCTAGGTGACAGAGTGAGACCTTGTCTTTTTAAAAAAAAAAAAAAAAAAAAACTGCTAAAATTGTTTGTTAAGAATTGTTCATTTATTGTGAAATATCACAATAATAAGAAGTATCCCAATGGGAGACGATTCCCAGTTCCAGAGATGTTAAAGTATGACAGAAAGAGGGAAAAGAGAACGAAGAAAAGGGGGAGGAGGAGAAACAGAAGGTGAAAGAAAAAGAAAATTATCATCTAATTTTGTTTCTTTGAGACTGCATCTCACTATTGTCACCTAGGCTGGAGTACAGTGGTGTGATCATGGTTCACTTCAGTTGTGACCTCCCAGACTAGGTGATCCTCCCACTTCAGCCTCCCAAGTAGCTCGGACTACAGGTGCCCACCACCATGCCCAGCTATTTTTTGTAGAGATGGGGTTTTGCCACACGTTACCCAGGCTGGTTTTGAACTCCTGGGGTCAAGTGACCCACATGCCTTGGCCTCCCAAAGGGCTAGGATTACAGTGAGCTACTGCACCTGGCCTATCACTCTATTATTAACAGAAAATCAGCCTTCCAAGAACCTCGGCAAGCCTCAATGATATAGAATATTGGTTACTCATTAAAATTTGTTATCAAAAAGTGGAGAAAAGGCCACTTGAAAGAGTGATCATGGGCTGGGTGCAGTGGCTTATGCCTATAATCCCCGTACTTTGGGAGGCTGAGGCAGGAGGATCGTTTGAGTCTAGGAGTTTGAGACCAGCCTGGGCAACATAGTGAGACCCTGTCTCTATTAAAAAAATGAAAAATTTAAAATAAATAAAGCTGGGCACGGTGGCTCACACCTGTAATCCCAACACTTTGGGAGTCTGAGGCCGGTGGATCACCTGATGTCACGAGTTTGAGACCAGCCTGGCCAACATGGCAAAGCCCCATCTCTACGAAAAATATAAAAAATTAGTTGGGCACATTGGTGTGTGCCTGTAGTCCCAGCTACTCAGGAGGCCGATACAGGAGAATCACTTGAGCCTGGGAGGTGGAGGTTGCAGTGAGCCTAGATCACACCACTGCACTCCAGCCTGGACAACAGAGACCTTGTCTCAAAAAGAAAAAGGAAAAAAAAAGAGCTCAGACAAAATGGAACAATTCCTACAAAAAGACACTCTCTAAAAACTGACTTAACTAGAAACACAATCCTAAATGAAACCATTCAGAATACTGCATACCTCCCCAGGAAAATATTAAACCCATCCCCCCTAAAAATACCATGCCCAGACAGTTGAACAGAAGTTCAACAAAACTTTCATAAAAAGATCATTCTAGTCTTAAATACATCTTTTCAGAGGGAAAAAAACAGTTTCTAACTCATTATTTGAGGCTGGCATAATCTGGATACCAAAACCAAATAAGGACAAGAAATTAAAATTAAGGGCCAATTTCACCTGTGAATGAACATAAATGCAAAAATCTCAAACAGCCCAGGTGCAGTGGCTCATGCTTGTAATCCCAACACTTTGGGAGGCCGAGGTGGGAGGACTGCTTAAGCCCAGGAGTTCAAGTCCAGCCTGGGCAACATAGCAAGGCCTCATCTCTACAAAAAATTTTAAAAGTAGCCAGCCATGATGGTGCACCCCTGCAGTACCAGCTACTCAGAAGGCTGACGTGCAATGAACACTTGAGTCCAGGAGTTCAAGGCTACAGTGAGCTATGATCATACCACTGCACCAGACTGGGTGACAGAACAAGATCCCATCTTTTAAAAACAAAACAAATTAATAAACTAAATCCAACTGTATATTTTTTTCTAAAAAGTTCATCATGACAGCGTTTGGTTTATTTCAGCAATTCAACATTATAAATGTCATTCACCACATTAACAGAATAAAGGAGGAAAACTATGTGATCATCTTGTAAATGCAGAAAACATATTTGATAAAATTCAATACTCATTCTTCACATAAAAAATATCTTGGGCTACTAGGAAGAGAAATGCCTTTAACCTAGAAGTTTCTACCAAAAATATATAGCAGGCCGGGCATGGTGGCTCAAGCCTGTGCCACCGTGCTAAGGTGGGCGGATAACCTAAGGCAGATAACCTGAGGTCAGGAGTTCGAGACTAGCTTGGCCAACATTGTGAAACCCCATCTCTATTAAAAGTACAAAAATTAGCTAGGCATGGTGATGCCCGCCTGTAGTCCCAGCTACTCAGGAGGTTGAGGTGGGAAGATCACTTGAGCCTGGGAAGCTGAGGTTGTAGTGAGCTGAGAATGTACCACTATACTCCAGCCTGGGTGACAGAGCGAGACCCTGTCTTAAATAAATAAAAATTAAAAATAAAAATAAATAAATACACATACATATACAGAGCAAACCTTAGCCATAATAGTGAAACAAAATAAGTACTTCCTTTAAATAATTAAGTGCAACATAAGAATGCCCATTTTTTTTTTTAAGACAGGGTCTTGCTCTGTTGTCCAGGCTACAGTGCAGTGGCACGATCATGGCTCACTGCAGTCTCAACCTCCTGGGCTTAAGCAATCCTTCCACTTCAGCCACCTGAGTAGCTGGGACTACAGGTATGCTGTACCTCCACACCTGCCTAGTTTTTATTTATTTATTTTAGAGATGGGGTCTTGCTATGTTGCCCAGGCTGATCTCAAACTCCTGGGCTCAAACGAAGGAATGCCTACTACTAACACTTGCATTGAATACTGTACTGAAAGTCCTAAATAGCATAGTTAAGGCAAGAGAAAAAAATAAAGCACGGGAAAGAAACAAAACAGAAAATGCAAAGAAAACAAAGAGGAAAAATATACCATTTACAATAGTAACAAGAAATAAGGTCTCTTTTTTTTTCTTTAAGACAGTCTCGCTGTGTCACCCAGGCTGGAGTGCAGTGGTGTGATCTCGGTTCACTGCAACCTCCACCTCCCAGGTTCAAGCAATTCTCATACCTCAGCCTGCTAAGTAGCTGGGATTACAGGTGTGTGCTACCATACCTGGCTAATTTTTGTATTTTTTTAGTAGAGATGGGGTTTTGCCATGTTGGCTAGGCTGGTTTGAACTCCTGGCCTCAAGTGATCTGCCCATCTCGGCCTCCCAAAGTGCCGGGCTTACAGGTGTGAGCCATCGTGCCTGGCCATCTTATTTTTCTTTATGGAAAAAAAAGAAAAAGAATTTGCTGAAAAATATTTTAAATATCTAAATAACCAAAAAGATACTCTATGATCAAGGATAGTAAGTCTCAATACCATAAAAGAAGGAAATAAGTTAAATGTATATGCAGAATAAAAGCTATAGGCTGGGCATGGTGGTAATACCAGCACTTTGGGAGGCTGAGGTGGAAGGATTGCTCAAGTCCAAGAGTTTCAGACCAGCCTGGGCAACATAGCAAGACTCTGTCTCTATAAGAAAAAAATTAAAAATTAAAAAAAAAAAAAAAAGCTACAGAGCTCTGGAGTTCATACAAGGCAGATCCCAATCTTTAAATAGCTTTTGAATTTTTGTATAATTTTGCTCAAATTATCTCCCATTCATGGATGTTTATGCAACAGATATAAACTTATTATTAGTAAATAATCATAGGTATCTTACTTTAAAGAAATTGTAGTAATAGTTAATACAGCACTTTAGGATTCTGACAGCTAGAATAAACAAGTATGAGAAAAGAATACATAATCAGTTCATGGCTGAGTTCTAGTTGAACTAGTGTCCCACTGGTTCAAAGGTCATTCAGTGTGCACATTCACCATAGTGCAAGTTCTAATAAGCACTCCTGCAAGTGATAAAATGTTGCCAACGTTTTACGTAACACATGAGGTTTTAGTTCTTGGTAATTTTCCGTCAAGGCTGTCAAAACACCATCTCCTCATAAACTACCTGAAAATGTGGACATTTATTCTAAATACAAATTGCATTCTGAAGGGGAAGGCAGACAAAACACATTCATAATGCAATGACCACGTTAGGCTCAATGGGTACTTCTAGTGGACTTATGTATGGGCCTTATATATGTAAGGCTCTTGTACACGTGAGATCTATAAGCAGTTGCCCAAGTTGCTTTATAACAGATAGACCTGAATTTGATCAAATGAATAATATTCTTTAGATCTAACTCATTCGAGTTTAATTTTGTTTTATGTAAGTTTTGCCATGTCCTACATTGCTGCCTAAACATTGCTTTATCCAAATTTCCTAATACAGAATTAGATATTATGATAATTTTCTTTACTGGTTGCTAGGAGATGATAATACTAATCACTGACATTCACTGAATGCTTACTGTGTGCCAGGCACTGTTGTAAATGCTTTGTATGTATTAAATCGTTCAATCTTTACAATAACCCTATCAGGAGGATAATATTACCATCACAATTTTACAGATGGAAAACTGAAGTATGGAAAAGTTAAGCAACTTTTCCAATGTCACACAACAAGTAAATGAAGTGGCTAAAGGATTCATATCCAATTAGTCTGTCTCCAGAGACTAGACCCTTAAATACCATTTATACTGCTTTTCACAATATTGAAAAGATATGTGAAATTATTATAAAGGACAAAAACACTCAGCATTAAAAATATTATCAGTAATTGTTAAACAACAGTTAAGCAATATTAATACTAACACAACTTATCACAGGTTGATACTTCACAGCTATTTCAGATTCATGGTTATGATTAAGAGTTTTGAAGTTGGACAGACCTGGCTCTGAATCTTGGCTGTGCCCTTTACAAGTTGTGTAATTTCGGACAACTTTCGTAACTTCACCAAGCCTCAGTTTCCTCATCTGTAAAATGAGAATAATAAACATCTCACAAAATTGTTGTTAGTAACATAATTATTGCTGCATTGCACTGACATAGTAACTCCAAACAAAATACCTATACACAAAATAAAGAGGATGTCCCATTTTCCCGATAAAATAAGACTTTATTATAATGATATACAGAAGATGATCACTCCAAGTTACTCCAACTGTAAGATCCACACACTAATGTAGAACCACAATTTTCTCTAATACATGATAAATAATTCCCCTATATAAAACTCAAATATCTACAGGTAAATTACTCGATCTTTGAAATAAAATATTTTTTTTTTGTGTGTGTGTGTGTATATATATATAGAGAGAGAGAGACAAATACAATATTGTTATTTATTGAGAGCAACTCCCACAAATCCCATTCTACACATATTCCTAGTAAGACCAGTAATTAGTATTCAAGGGGCCCAAAACAGGAAGAGCTGTGTCAAGAAGGCTCAGTTTGGGCCAGGCACAGTGGCTGATGCCTGTAATCCCAGCACTTCAGGAGGCCTCGGCAGGAGAATCACTTGAGCCCAGGAGTTCAAGACCAAGCTGAGCAACATAGGGAAAACTCGCCTCTACAAAAAACTTTAAATATCAGCCAGGTATGGTGACATGCACCTGTGGTCCCAGTTACTCGGGAGGCTGAGACAGAAGAATAGCTTGAGCTTGGGAGGTCAAGGCTGCAGCAAGCTGTGATCACGCCACTGCACTCCAGCCTGGACAACAGAGTGAGACCCAGTTTAAAAAAAAAAAAAAAAAAACGAATGGACTCATGTGGCACTGATAGGAAGGAATATTTACAAGAAATAAACAGAAAGAGAGAGACATATTGGCAAAGTCGTAGGGAAAATGAACACCAAGATCAATGGAATATAAGGGAAACTTCTTCAAAACACTCTAGAAAATCTCCATGTTTAATCCCACAGTCCTATATTTATTTCCATTTTCACGTAAACTTAAACGAAAAATTCCATTCATTCTCTTGTAGCAAACAGCAGTTTCTGCAAAGTGTTTAAAAACAAAACAAACAAAACAAAACTTGGCTTGGAATTTGTTTTGCATATTTATTTCTGTCTCCAAAGAAAATATGTGTTTGGCGAGACGGTAAATATTTTAGAATGACAGTTATAGAACTGGGATTTGGCTTTCAAAAATGGAAAGTGGTCACAGAGTATCTATTCAGCTATATATTAAATATTTGATTTACAAAGAAAATTATACAAGCAAAATTAAACTATGAAATGGTCTTCAAGGTTAGAAACATGGCAATTTGGGCCAGCACAGTGGCTCACGCCTGTTAATGCCAGCACTTTGGGAGGCCGAGGCAGGTGGATCGCCTGAGGTCAGGAGTTCAAGACCAGCCTGACCAACATAGCGAAACCTTGTGTCTACTAAAAATACAAAAAATTAGCCGGGTGTGGTGACGGGTGACTGTAATCAATTCCAGCTGCTCAGGAGGCTGAGGCAGGAGAATCACTTAAACCCGGGAGGCAGAGGTTGCAGTGAGCCGAGATGCGCCATTGCACTCCAGCCTAGGCAACAAGAGCAAAACTCTGTCTCCCAAAAAAAAAAAAAAAAAATTGAAAAGAAACACAGCAATTGGGATAAACTATTGATGGAGAACCTACTGTGTGTTAATACAGTCACAATATTCAGTATTAAGAGGAGTACAGAAAACTACTGACATAATTTCTAAGCTCTTGATTCTCATAATCAAGAAAAGGAATATTAAAAGCCTGTTTGACAAAATACTGCCAATGCTTTAAGAGAGGCACAAATTGCAACATGCCTTAAGAGGGGGATGAGATCACTGACTTGGAGAGAAGAAACAAGAAAAGACTTCATGGAAATTGCAGCATTTGAAAAGTGGAATTCCAACAACCCTAACTTCTGAATATAAAAACAACTTAAACTAAAAAGTTTTCCTTCTGTTAGTATGGAGGTGTATATTGTCTCTCAGGTGTCACTAAAATGGAAAGTGGGTAATAAAAATGTACTAAATAAATCTAATAGAACATTTTCTTTTCTTTTTTCTTTTTTTTTTGAGATGGTATCTCACACTGTCACCCGAGCTGGAGTGCAGTGGCACCATCTCAGCTCACTGCAAACCTTCGCCTCCTGGGTTCAAGCAATTCTCCTGCCTCAGCCTCCTGAGTAGCTGGGATTACAGATGCTCGCCACCACGCCCAGCTAATTTTTTGTATTTTTAGTAGACACAGGGTTTCACCATGTTGGCCAGGCTGGTCTCGAGCTCCTGACCTTGTGATTCACCCACCTCAGCCTCCCAAAGGGTTGGGATTATAGGTGTGAGCTACCACGCCTGGCCCTAGAACATTTTCAAAAAGGAATTTGACAATAATAGCCATATCTTCAATTGCCATTTACCTTCAAATACTGTACTTAGAATTTTACATTAAGAAATTTGAAAAATTTAAAAAAAGAACAGACTTAAAATAAGACTATTCACTCATTCACTTATTAATACTTTATAAAGTGAAAAACTAACTGGACACAAAAATTAACTCTAAGAATTAAGGCAGTTAGACACAAAGGGATGTGAAATGAGTTACATAGAGCTGATTAATAAAAGGAAGCCTAATTTTTTGTCCACATCTCTTCCCACGTCCAGAAGAAGAACTTAACAAAGGCATTTTATGAAAAATACACTTAAAAAAGTGTCCTTAGTAACAGATTTACATATGATACAAAAATCCTTTTAAAAATAGTTTATTAAGGTATAACATAGGTAGAAAGAAGCATACAAAGTGTAGCGCTCAATTACTTTTCACAAAGATACACACATAATTAGAATCCAGATCAAAAACAGAACGTTAGTAGCACCCTAGAAGCTCCTCTATGTTCCTGCTTCCAGCCACTTCCCGTTCCCCTACCAAAGATACCATCTTAATTAACTAAACTAACACCATAGATGTGTTTTGCCTATACTGAATTTTACTAAAAAGAAATCATACAATATTACCCTTTTGTTGTTGTTTCTTTCACTCAATATTATGTCTAGGAAATTTATCCATACTCTTGTGCTTCCAGTTTGCTATGATTTGAACGTTTGTCTATTCCAAAAACTCATGTTGAAATCTAATGGTGGGGGGGGGGGTGGGACCATTAAGAGATAATTAGACCACGAGGGCTCTGCCCACATGAGTAAGATTAATGGATTAACACCAATACAAAAGGGTACAACTGTCTAGAACAAAGGCCATCTAATTTTTACAAAGTGCCCCTTCCTAAGAAAACTTATTAAATAACAAATGCTTAGGAAATCCTTGAACTACCTATTTTAAAAATATTTAAAGCAAATAAATATAGAACGTGAGGTGTTCGAGGTTACTATGCAATGACAGAACAACAAATAAAAAAATCAGGTTCTTCTCTTTATGCCAACAATTTGAAATTTTTCTGCATGATCAGCATTTCCTTTGCTACTTTACTTTCTTTAAATAATTTTTTGTCATTTCTGTGAGTTCTATAAATGAAGTCAAGTTGGATTACAACTAAGATATATGAAAAGATTTTAGGTAAATTTTTAACTTTATGTAATTTCAATTTTAAAGACATCTGCAAAGATCATCAATTATTTATATTTCATCTGATTTGCTGTATCATTCTCTTTCTCCTTGAGATTTTTCCTTGAGATGGGGTCTCACCATGTTGCCCAGGCTGGTCTTGAACTCTTGGACTCCCATCTCAGCCTCCCAAAGTGCTGGGATTACAGGAGTGAGCCCATACCAGGTCCATCTCATACATTTTTTTCTGAACCATATGAGAGTAAGCTGTAAACACTATATACCATTTTAGTCCTAAATATTTCTGTATGTTCTGCTAGGAACAAGAATGCTTGTTTAGATAACCACAGTATAGTTAAGCAAATCAGTACCAATGTTAAAGTTACTATATAACAGCCAGGCTCGGTGGCTCACGCCTGTAATCTCCGCACTTTGGGAGACCAAGGTGGACGGTTCACGAGGTCAGGAGATTGAGATTATCCTGGCCAACACGGTGAAACCCGTCTCTACTAAAATTTAAAAAAATTAGCCAGGCGTGGTGGTGCGTGCCTGCAATCCCAGCTACTCAGGAGGCTGAGGCAGAGGAATCGCTTAAACCCAGGAAGTGAAGCTTGCAGTGAGCCGAGATTGCGCCACTTCACTCCAGCCTGGAGAAAGAGTGAGACTCCATCTCAAAAAAAAAACTTACTATATGTCTACAGTCCATATTGAAATATATAGGACTCAGTTATGTGTGTTCATTGTTACAGGGTTTTATGACTTGAATAGGTCCCCCCAAAATTCAGGTGTTACCAATGTGACAGTATTAAGAGGTGGAGCCCTTAAGGAGTGATTAGGCCAGGAGGGCTACTTCCTCCTAAATGGGATTTAAGGCTTCGTGCAGCTTCAGCTAGCTTGTTTTTCCACTTTTTGGCCATGTGAAGACACTGTGTTCCTTGTCTCCGGAACAGACAATTGGACCTGCCAGTACCTTGATCTTGGACTTTCCAGCCACCAGAACTGTGAGAAAATAAAATTCTGTTTTTTATAAATTACCCAGTCTCAGGTATTCTGTTACAGCAGTATAAATGGGTTAAGAAAGAGGAGAAGTGGCTGGGCTCAGTGGCTCACGACTGTAATCCCAGTACTTTTGGAGGCAGGGGTGGGAGGATCACTTGAGGTCAGGAGTTCAAGACCAGCCTGGCCAACATGGTGAAAACCATGTTTCCACTAAAAATACAAAATTTAGCCAAGCATGGTGGCAGGAGCCTGTAATCTCAACTACTTGGGAAGCTGAGGCAGGAGAATCACTTGAACCTGGGAGGTGGAGAGTGCAGTGAGCCAAGATCATGCCACTGCACTTCAGCCTGGGCGACAGAGCAATACTCCATCTCAAAAAAAAAAAGAGAGGCGAAGGAATTGTTTCTAGGCCCTCTTAGCAAACAAAGCTGAAATACATATATATATAAATATATA